GTACAATAGAAAAATACCCACCCTAAATTTATGTCGATCATTTCCTGATTGTAAACTTTTGTCCACCGAGTGTACTAACAAAATAATAATATAATACTAAAGATAGCTGGTTTGAAGATTTAGATGCTGTACACCAAATATTAAAAACAGGTTCTTTAACAGCCCTAACTACCGAATACGAGACATAAACAAGATATTATTTGCCTGCATAAAGACGTGAATTGCGGCATTGTCCCATCGACAAATATCTTTCTATCCTCTGTAAAAAATTTAAACCTCAAGGCCATTAAATTAGTATCACGTAAAATGAACACAAACGGTAGGGCTGTTAAATAGTTAAATTAGGATTTGGCTTAAACCGATGGTTTATTAGTTTGAGCCAATGATAGAAACAGTTCCAATAAGCCAGTCTCATAATCGGTTTCGGGAGATGGCTCCTAAATTGGTAGGTTTCTGAATTACTATCAACCAGTGATGGTAAATGACCAGGCCATTTTCTCATTTTGTAAATGACATCGAAATGACTTAGATCATTTGGTCATTAGGTCGTTGTCATGTGATTTATAGAGAGTTTCAGTGAGACCCTTTGAAATGACTGGTCAATGGTCATTGGAGTCATTTGGGTCATTTCAAGTCATTTAGCATCATTGCTATTAACATCTAATGTTTATAGAATAACAAATCGCATTTATTGATATACAATAATTATAATAATAATAATAATATCTTCGTAAATAATAACGAATTATTAAAAAATAACGATAAAACTGAAACATAAATTGAAATATAAGCGAAATATGATAAAAATATAACGAACTTCATAACTAATTTTCATTTTCTATATAATACTCTTAACTAATCCTGTCGCAAACCAAGTTTTGAGACAGAGTTTGCGAGCATTTTCTGGTGATTTCTTGCTGGATTAATTGTGGATTTAGCCACACTAGACATTTGTTTGCTTGGCTCACTTGTTGCTTGGACCACTAGGTAATCACCTGCCATACGAGCAAAGAGAATTCATTCTTTGGATCTAGTCATCCAGTATGCAAGAATATCAATTGTTCAATGGATGAACTGATATTCTTCGAGAGAATCATCGCCTTTCATGAATACACCATATGTCCTTTTAGATGGCGACGGAAAGATTCACATGGTAATTCTGACTTAAAGAGTTGTATTAAAAAAATGCATTACTACATAATTGTTCTCATACATTTCATGACTCATTTTGCAAGTATTTCACTTTTCTATCTTCGATTCAAATAACATTAGCTTGTTGTTTGGATCAAGAATTACAGCCTTATTCAAGTTCATTTCAGTATTTAAATAGCTTTGAACTCATTTTTTTTGCAATCTGATATCATATTGTGTTTGTCTCATTTTCTCATTTTGTAAATGACATCGAAATGACTTAGATCATTTGGTCATTAGGTCGTTGTCATGTGATTTATAG